TTTAGATTAGCGAGATTATTTTGAATAAAATATCATTAAAAATAGAATTGATTAACATATTTATATAATCGTTTTCCAATAAAAAGGAAAACGGGACAAACTCATTGTTTATACAATGATTATAAAAAACTAAAGCTTTGCATTTTTTTACATTCATTTTTGAAAAATGACGAGAGTGTTAAAATGTGTTTTTTTTCTTCTCAAAGGAAATCAAAATATGTAATTTTAAATATGATTGACGGGCTAGTAAACATTAATTGAGACATTAAATTTATTCCCTTTCTAATTTACGTCTTATAAAAAAAAAATTATTCAAATACGTTTAACTTACAGTACAATAAATAATATTATACATAACCGTCAGACAAGAACTGAAAGTGAGGGCTAAACCAACAAAAAAAGTTTAGCCCTAATTTTCAATGCCTATATTATTTCTATCTTTGCAAAAAAAGCTAAGCCCTACATAGACCCCCCCCCCCCCCTCCTCGGTTCCGACGCCTATGTAATACGTCCCTGTGGATCGATAATAAGTGGGATAATATAAAGGCGGATTGGCGGACATAGAAGAGAGGAGGAGGAATCTTTGTACACCAAAAATCTGCTAAAACACTCACGGCGGAAAAAAGTCTCTAGTGCAGAACTTATATTCATATATATACTTACATGTACAAATTATTCAGTAAAATAAAATATAAAGAGAGTTGCAGAAGTTGGATCAGATGCAATGGATGAGTTGCTTTAATTTGATTTCTTTTTTTTCAGATCTTTTTGTTTTATTTTTCATTTCGTTGTCTGGCCTTTCTACTAGAAGAGAGATAAATCTTACAAGCTAATGGTTTACACTGATTGTTTTGTTGTATGTCTAATTAACGTTCCTTCAAGGTTTTTCTTTTCTTTTTGAGAGGCAACCAGTTGCAGGAGGTGGCAGTACAGGGTATTTAGAACCCTTTAGCCATGAGAATTTTTTTCTCTGTCAGCATTTTTTTAATATATATATATTTATATATTTTTAATTTGTGTTAAAATTTTTATATTTTATCTAAATATGCTTTTTCTTTTTATAAACTCGTATATCGTATTGATGTAATAAATAAAGTTGAACTATATATATTTATATAGGTCTTAATATAAATTGCTTATAAAGATTGTAAAAGGGGGAAGATGATCAGGAATCAATATCAGAAGTCAGTAAGCATTCGATAAAATGATAGATTGTACTTGTTGAAAAGATCGTTTGGAAATTGCAAAATAATTATTTCAAATGAGATTGTTTCATATACTTGTTTCGTTAATCAATATTTCGATAGCATACTTTGTTTTAAAAATTGTTCGTGCGTAGAGTATGCTGTTGTGTTTCGAATCGACTGGGAGACGAAATCCTTATATGCAGTTCATAAAAGTAAATTGCTCCTCAAGTAAGGAAAGCTGACGGCAGGAAAATGAATTCATTACGTCTATTATAAATGAAAGAAATTTAAATCATTACGTTTATTATAAATAAAATATGAAACAGATGATGTATGAGATCCATTTATCTTTTATTTCAAGCTCACTGTGATATATCGAGTCGAGATTCGAATAGGAGTAACAATATGATAATAAGTAGTCAATATGTTTAATTGTCGAGTTGCCACAGCCAATTTTTTTTCTTTTCATGTTTATATCTTTCAATAATTTTTCCTTCATATCAACAATTGCTGACTGATGTTTTTCATACTAATTTTTAGGTCATTTTTTACTCACCGAATTGACGACGGATTTTTCCATTATTTCCTGATCAGAAGTAGCAGACTGCGGCCGGTGTGACCGATCGACAGGGTATACTCACTCCTCCATGGCATCGGATCCCACCTCTCTGATGTTTTGGAGCTCGGTGTTTGCTCTGCTTCTATTTTTTATTGTTTTATGAGCTTGAATACTGTTCGTTATATATATGTCTCCTTATGGTAATGGATGCAATTGGTAGCCGGATGACTGCAACAGAATGTTGAAAGACCTGATCTCCAAAAACTAAAAAAAAAATTTGACAAACCAAAACTGAGGTATCTCTTCAATAGCGACACTCGTGTGTTTACTGTATGTTGTTTTTGGAGACCAGGTCTTCCAACAATCTAGTGGAATTCCCATTGGTTCCAATTGCGCCCGGTTATTAGCAGACCTATTTTTGTATTCATATGAAGCAGACTTTGTGCAAAATCTTTTGCGTGAAAAAGAAAGAAAACACTTGCTGTGGTCTTCAACTCGACATTTAGATATATCGACGACGCGACACATTATCAACTAACAATGGTAATTTCCATTCTTACGTCGATACAATATATCCTGGTGGGCTTGAGATAAAAGATACCACAGAGTCTGACACATCTGTTTCATATTTAGATATTTTTCTTGAAACAGATATTAATGGTAATCTAACAACCAAGCTCTATGATAAACACGATGGCTTTAACTTTTCTATCGTCAACGTCCCTTACTTATGCAGTAATATACTTTCATCACCTGCATACGGAGTTTAAGTATCTCAGTTGATTCGATACGCAAGAGCATTCTCTACGTATGAACAATTTTTTTAACGGGGAAAATAATTGACAAACAAGTTGATGAAACAAGAATATCAGCAGTCTTTACAATCTTTATAAGCAATATCAGCAGTCTTGTTTAGAGTCATCATTTCGTAAGTTCTATGGTCGATACAATGATCTTGTCAGCAAATACAATTTATAATTGGGTCAAATGCTGACTGACGTTTTTCATACTTATTGTTACCGGTTACGGTAGCCTAGGGGTAGATCGTTCGCTTCGTGATTGGGAGGCCCGGTTCGATTCTCGTTCGCGGCGCCGCGTCAAACCTAAGACCTAAACATAGGTTTCCTTCGCCAAGCGAACGGCATTAGAAGTGAAAGTCACGATCTTTCGGATATGATCTTAAAAACGTAGATACCTTGTCACGGTAGGCGTTGGCACGATAAAGACCCTCACTGCTCAATGGCCCTGAGTGCCGAGTGTAGGTCTAAATCTGAAGCCCTTCACCGGCATACGGTGACGTTTCTATGTGAGTGAAAAATTCTCGAATGGGACGTTAAACAATATACATTCAATCAATCAATCAATCAATCATACTTAGTTATTGTTAGTCCATTATTCATACAATGTATTGACGACGTAGTTTTCCGTTATTTCTCGATCACGACAAGGAGCACACGGCGGGTGTGACCGGTCGGCAGGGGATGCTCACTCCTCCATGGCACCTGATCCAACCTCTGATGTTTTGGAGGCCCGTGATTGCTCTGCTCTTTTTTGTATTGTTTAATGGACTTTTCTTGAATACTGTTCGTTATCTCCATAGGTTTCATTTTACGAAAGTGTTGCAAAATGAAGAAATTGTAACATTAGTTAATTTTCAATTTCCATTTATAAAACAAATAGGTTCCTGTGATGTCAAAAAAGACTTGATTTTAATTTATCATGGGGAATGCCTTAATAAAGTGTTAAAAATCGTATCTATATACAAAATATTATTAATTTTTGTAACATTTTGTGATTTGAAATTTTCTAAAAGTTCCTTGAATTTTTTTTTAGACATCCACAACTGATTTACACTACTCCGCTTGAAGAACAGTTACTGGAAACAGCTGTGTATTTTTGTTTTTGAACAACATTCGATCAGCACCACTGATAGAAGGGTCTAAATTTGAAGCCCTTTGTGAGTTAAACAATATACAACTCCACACTTGTGTGGAGTTCGAGAAATCACAAATTTCCCTTGACATTGTGACCGATCGGCAGGGGACACTCGCTCCTCCACAACCACTGATAGGAGGAGATATGTTTTTACAAAGTTATTCTCACACGCTTATCAGAGAGTTTTGTTGTTGGATTACTATTAATCGGAGTACTATTCATGTTTTCTTTCGAGTAAAAACATCCAAGTATGAAGCAGATGGGACAGAATATTTGATATCTTTCACTTTAAGCTCACTTGGATATACCGTGTCGGCATATGAATGGAAGTAACTTTTATTAACCATTAAATGTTTAGAAAGGTGCATGTTAACAGTATATTTACAGTGATTGTACTAAAAAAACTACAAACAATACAAATCTGTGAACATAAAACGCATGTGACTTGAAATTGCATATTTGGGATCAGGTGCATGAGAACAGTAAGCATCCCCTTTTGATTGATAACACCCGCCTTGAGAAGGAATACTCCGGAGTCAAGTTTGCTATTACAACAGTGGTCTAAAATGTGTATGAAAAACGTCAACAAAAAAGTGACTCAGTGATATTTAAAATTTGCTTACAAAATCATTATTATGACATAAATAGGGAAATTGTTTTCAACGAAAGGAGATAGAAAAACAAGGAAATCGTCTGTTTCTTTGAACGTAATTATTTTGCAAGTCTTTTTGTCGATACGAAGACTTTGTCAGCAAATACAATATGTCAATAATGCTGTCTGACTTGTACTTTTGTCATACCAATTTTAGGCTATTATCTGCACACTGCATTGTCTTAAAGTTTCTTTTTTTCTTTCCATTTTCCCATTTATGAAAAGGAGTGCACATGTCGCGGTTGATAGGTGCTTATACATGTACCTCCACTGCACCTTATCCCATCTGATAGAATTTTAGAGGTCCTTGTTTGCTCTGCTCACGATTATGTTGTTTCAATTGACTTTTGAGTATGATCATTTTTGGTTATCTCCATATTTTAGGCAAAATCTAACATTCAGTAATTATATTGACATTTTTTAGTGTTGGATACAAATTGATAAATTCTTCTTTCGTAAAAGATTATAAAGCTATAAAAATTGCAAAAAAAAAAAAAAAAAGAAAAATCAAACATATACCGGTATGTTAAGTAATATCCTGATCCAATCTAATGAAGATAGGTTCTGTTAATTCTAGGAATTCAATTTTTCTGGCTTTCTGTAGAAGCCTTTCAATTTATGGAATTTGTCTTGAATTGAAATAAAATTGAATTGATAGACACTGCAATTGTGAGGAAAAAAACAATTTATTTAACTATGAACAACAAGGAAGATTAAGTCATTTTTAGTGCATCAAAATGACTTTCTAAAATAAATTTCTATTATAATTATTAAATATAGCTTTTTCTACTTTAATCGTCATTGTCACATGTGAACAGACACTGTTGGCTTCTGTCATCAAAACACGTGGTGTTCGGGCAGTTTCGGACTTTGGGCGCCTCTCTTGTACAAGTGATGTATTTTTCTTTGTTGTATGGATGACGAATGCCTTTATTTAGGGGCACAGCTGCACAAATCTCGGCTAAAAAATTAATTTATTAAGAAAATTATAACGTGCTACGAAGCGAAAATTTTACAACGAACATATACCTTTCAAATATAAATTCGAAAAAAAAGTCTTAAGAGAAGAAAACATTTTTTTTTTAGAATTTATATATCAAACGGATAATCAACTTAGCTGTCCTGCTTCACTTGAAAAGGTTTTATTCCAATTTCAAGGATTAAAAAGTTTATGTGTAGACTAACTCACGTGATAAAAGATAGACATTCGTTTCGTCGAACTGTTCGGAGCCTCTGGCTTTACACCTTATCTTTGCCCTGTTCCATTCCATGTTCATGAAGTAAGTGGCGTTGACAGTTTGTTTTCGGACACATCCAAGGTCGACGTTTTCTCTTGTAGCGCTGTAAAATGTAAAATCATGGAAGGCTGTTTCGTTTTGAAGTTTGACCTGAAACTGGAGGTCACCATCCGGGTAACCAGGGTATCCTGTGCAGTTGAACGCGATATTAGCTTCGCCATACAACTCTTCAATCTTTGAAATAACAGGCTTTCCGCGGGATGGATCTGTCAATTTAAATTAAAAGATTCTTAAGAATTATGATATGTCTAATTTATTTATACTAAAATAAAAAAAAATCAATTATCTTCGAGTAGGTTTTTTTAAAAAAGATACAAAAGTCTCACTTGTAACAATTATTTTCGCATCCTGGTTTTGACCATTGTCTAAAACACATTTGTACACGCCTTCGTCTCTACAGCGCAAGCGCGTAAACTGTAAGGACACTTCCGCCGGTTGCTGTGCATTTCCTGGTGTGTAAATCACCTGAACATTTCTTTTATTGAAAACTGAGTTAGCACCACCATTAGGAGTAACTCGAACAACTGATCTGTTCCTTTTATCACTCCGAATGATATCAAGGCGCTTCCAGTCTTGGTAATTAAAAACTGAACATGTCACGGCTGTTACATTCTCTGACCCAATCTCTCCACGATGTCCGTCAACAAACAGACCTTCAAAAATATTGGCAAACATCAATATACATCTTTAAGGAGCATTAAGTTTTTCTAAAAATACAAAATATCTTAACTTAATATTTCATATGCTTGTATCATAAATTTAAACGAAGTTACACGATAATATTGAAATAGAACTACTTACATATATATTAACATCATTAACACACACACACACACGACAAATTTGCTTTACTTCGGGGACCTTACCACTCTCACAGATCTTTCCGAACCAGGGTTGGGGACAGTCACAGGAGAAGGATCCAATCAAATTAGTACAGCTCCCTCCGTTAATGCAAGGATTCAGCAAACATTCATCAACATCTGAAAGACAAAGCTAAGTATTATACTCTTAATTCATGAAACATATGGAGATAACGAACATTATTCCAGATCAAAAGTCCATAACACAATACAAAATAGGAGCAGAGCAAACATAAAAACAGAAAATAGGAACTGTGTACATGTAATGGTTTAGCAACATCAAACACAGACTAAGAATGATGTTGTTTCATTTTAGTTCATTTCAGAGAACTTGAATGTTTGTCCAGTGAATATTTTTCTCTATTGAATATTTTTTTCAGATGGAAATGCAATGATGGAAACAATACAAGTACTGTAAGGAATGACGCGGATAAGACAGAAATACATTGTACCCTGTTCACAGTATGCTCCCGTCCATCCACTTGGACAAGTACAGGAATACGCCCCTGGTTCATTTACACACGTACCACCGTTTTGACAAGGTGAATATAAGCATTCGTCAATATCTTCAATGATAAAAAAACATCTCATGTGTCGTGAATAATGTGAATGCATATTTTTTTATTCAGGTTAATTCTTCACAAATTACACATTTTCAAACAGATTATTATTTGTTATATCTACCTGTATCACATTGTTTTCCCGTCCATCCTGGCGAGCATGCGCACGTATAGGAAGCAATAGTGTTGGTACATTGCCCTCCATTAGCACAGGGATTCATCAAACATTCATCAACATCTGTCAACGATGCAGAAAAATGTAGAAAATAAATCATATATTATGTATTGTCAGTAGGCTTTAGAAAATACAAACATAAGCAAAGAAGTCATCTGAAAGATCTTTTATGATTAGTTCAAATTGTTTTGTAAAAGGTATCGAAAGCAACACCGTTTCTGTACACATTGGAAGGTAAAACATTTTAATTCTATCTGTTGGGCTTTAAGCATGAGTACCCATATCACAGAGAGGTCCCTGCCATCCGGCTGTACAGTTACACATGTAGGTCCCTGGTAAGTTATAGCACGACCCACCGTGAAGGCAAGGGGACGATATACACTCATCCTCATCTGAAAATGTCCGAAGGGAGATATCAAACAGAATAAAGGAATTAAGCTTTGATGAATAGTTAAAGTTTCTATCTCTTTTTAAGCGGTTAATGTCTGCATTTGCTGATTAAATAGAAATAAATGATAGATGTATGAAGAGGACTACACTTACCCATCTCGCATAACGATCCACTCCATCCACTGGGACACTGACAGGAAAGAATGCCGTTTATTATCCAACAAGATGCTTTGTTTTTACACAAGTTTATCTGACATTCTGCAAGTACAAAAATAAATATATACGTACAGGTATATGTGAAACAAACATTACCTCAAAGGTTTATGAAATAAATAATAATTTATGTATATTAACATTTTTTTTTTCTTACCTTTAACACAGGATCCACACTGTTGTTCATTTTCGTTAAAACACGTGTCGACATCGCATTCCATAACGGCCCTTGGTAGTTGGTTCAGGCACTGCACATATTTTTTTGGATTGTGTGGATGTTCAAGGAATATTTCTGTCACAGTGGATGCTCTTTCACAGAAATTATCTAAGGTGAGTAATGACATAAAAATATTTATTTATGACATGACAGCTAGTGATAAAAGAAAGATATATATATATAATATGAATTTTAGATTTTAAATAATACCATATTCATTTAAAGTTTGGGTTCCTAATCTTCCTATGTATACAAGTTTAAATTGATAAAAAACCTTAAAACTACAGCTGATTAAAATGCCAAATATTTTATAAACCTGGAAGGACATCTATCACAGTTTCATCGAAATTTCCGGACTCCTCCTCAATACATCGAATCGTGGCCTGGTCCCATTCTTGTCCAAAATTGTAGTCAACAGACATAGTTTGTGTACGTGAGCAATCTGCAGTAAGATCGTCTTGAACTTGCACGGGAAATTGAAAGTCTCTGTAAACAGCTTCATTTTGTTGTTTGACTTGGAACTTCAGATTTCCATAGGGGTAGGATGGGTGTCCTTGACATTGGATATTTATGGTTCTTCGATTGTCCACAACTCCCTCTGTTTTAGAAATCCGGGTCGGTTCTCCAGACGGAGGTTCTGTAGTATTAGAATTATTGTGAGCATAATTTCTTACATCTTTAAAAACCCATTTAAAACCTTTTTTAAAATTTGTTTTCAAAAATTAAGCTACTTTATAATATTAAGAAAGTTTTCAATAGCTGATGTGATAAAGTCCCTTACTTGTCACAACCAGGTTCATGGTATTTTTAGAATTTCCGTCTACAGTACACTGGTATTTCCCCTCATCCTCGCACCTCAGATTCTGAAAGGTCAAGGACACGTCTGCCCCACTACCCACGACACTACTGTTGATTTTGACCCCACCACCGGTAAAGTCCGTGAACAGTCCGTCCGGATTGACCTGGTATAAGGTTCTGTTACCATATTTGACTTCGATTGAATTCCAGGTCTCCAAGCGTTGAACACCACAGCTGATAGTTACACTGGAACCAAACTGTCCTTCAGCCCCCATCAAAAACATTCCTTTTAATTCAAAAATGTTTCATAATTTGTCACATTGTTTAAATTCCTAAATTTAAGTGTAAAACACACTCTTTTCTCTCAGATCCTGGTCAAATCCAAATCAAATCTCTTTTAGTTGCATGTCTGTATCTTTCAAGCTCTCACACTATTTTTCCCACAAGTAAAATATCTCAAATTTAGTTTATATTTTGATTCCTATTCTGATTTTTACTCACTCGCTGTGCAGTCCTGACCAACCCAAGGTTGTGGACAGTCGCACTGGTAGGATCCGTCTACATTCTGGCAAACTCCTCCATTAGAACAAGGATTCTGAACACATTCATCCACATCTGAAATAGATTTTTTTAAAAATCTGAATCATTCTTCCTTGTAAAAAGAATCAAATTGATAAACGTTTTGCATTTTATTGTTTCTTTTACTTGGTGGATTACTGTATCCCTTACCTTCATCACACTGTTTCCCCTCCCATCCTGAGTCACATTTACATACAAAAGATCCATGAATATTCTCACAAGCCGCCCCGTTGGAACATGGACTGTCTTGGCATTCATCAACATCTGTATAAAAATAATAAATACCCAGTTATAACGCCATACGTCTGGATCAAAATTGAACTAAGGATATTTTTTATCAACCTTTTTTTCAACAAAGTCTGCCATACCTAGATCAATATCTATATTTCAGGAAAACAATCTTTTCATTTTGACTTACCTTCGCATGGGGTACCAGTAAATCCCGGAGAACAGTCACACCCATAAGAGCCATTGAAGTTCAAGCAGGTGCCGCCATTACCACAGTCAGTAAGTAAACATTCATCTACATCTTTATTTGGAAGAAAAAAAAAACTTTATAAACTTCATGTAAAAGGCGAATACGAAGAACAGTGATAGGTTTCAAAAATCTTAAAACAATTCAAATATGTGAAGAGGGCAAAAACACGGACCTCTGGGAAAACCAAAGGTGGTGTCAGGTGCCTATGAAAGTACTTTTTTATTTAAATTACCTGTTTCACAATATTGTCCTGTCCATCCCTCCATACATTCACACGTGAAGGATCCGATCAGGTTCACACAGCTACTACCTTCGGGACAAGGCGACTCCACACACTCGTCCACATCTTAACAAAGGAAAGCAACTCTTGTCAGAGTTTAAGACACTAATTTTTTGGTTTGGGATATTGTAATCAGACATTTATGATCTATTTAAATATTTTTTTAATGTTTGAATAAATGACACGAATTAATTTCCATAAAAAGAGATGTTAACAAGCACTTTTGATATCTCGATCAGGAGGACACAGTGAAGAACCATCCACATGTTTAAAAAATCAAATTTGAAACTTGATTAAATAATGATTAAGTCCGCACGATTACTGTTGATATTAAAGATAAAAAAAATAGAAAATTAATCTTTATCTTGAAGAACTAGGTTGTACCTTGGTCACATAATTTCCCAGTCCAGCCACTGCTACATTCACACTTAAATGCCCCAGCTGTGTTGTTGCATATCCCTCCATTACTACAAAGTTCAGAATCGCCTAGACATTCGTCTTCATCTGAAAGAAAAATTAATTTGATATTAGTATGTGGGTTCATCCGGATAAAAAGGGTTGTGTGTAAACCATTAAGAGAATAACGACATTTATGTGAAATATGTGGAGATCAACGACTTCTTGGTGGAGAACAACAACTATTAGGTGAAATATGTGGAGATAACGAAAGGTATACAAGCTCAAAAGTCCATTAAACAATATATAATAGGTGCAGATAGGTGTCCGAAACAAACAAGTATGACTCTGTAGTCTCTGTACCTTCTGTGCAGTTTTTGCCTGTCCATCCCGGAGGACATTTACAGGAATATGAACCTTCCGTGTTAAAGCAAGGAACACCTTCCCCACACGGAGAGTTTAGGCATTCGTCCACGTCTGAAGAACGAAAAATAACAAATAAGTTCCATAAAAATACCAAATTATTTTTTGGGGATGAAAAATAAAATTTCTTTGACAATCTTTGATGGAAAAAATTAAATATTATTCCAAATCATTTCAGTTCTTAAAAATAAACATGTTTTTTAAATATGAAAGTGAAGTCTTGCCAGCTGTGCAGTTTCCTCCAGTCCATCCCGGTACACATGTGCACTCAAAGGAACCATCTGTATTTTTACATAAACCACCATTGGCACAGGGCTGTTGATTTTTACATTCGTCGATATCTATAAAAAACAAATATTGTCAAATACAGTAGAAAAGAAGCTTAATATTGTCGATTAAATAAAATAATAATTTTAAAAAAGTGAAATTATTGACCCTGGTTGAAATCTTTTCTTTCTTGTCCTCCATTACTAATACACATGGAGAAACCTTATTGAAGGAACCTTATTGCGTTTTCCTATCTTAGACACCGCTTCTCAACTATAATGGGGAATATTATGTGAGGACCTTGGATTGAGAAGAAGAAACGCCCCATTCACACTTGTATTATCATACTTCTATTTTCCATTAAAAGAAATCCTTTTTTATTTTATGAGCCACTGCTGAGTATTCTGTGAATATTCTTGTATTCTAATAGGGATCAGTTTCAATCTTGTAATAACTTATCTACATGTTTTTATTCTTTTATGTTGTGTAATTTGTGTGTATTGAGTTATCAATATTATCAATTCCAGTAAAATAGCCATAGAAAGCAGCGCAAAAAAATAAAAACCCTGGAAACACAAAAGGTTGGATCAAGTACCCAAGAAGAGTAACCGTCCTCGTCGAGTTTTAAGAACTTCGTATATAAAACATCGTATTCGGGTGATAATAATATATTCCTAAATAAATAAGAAGGATCTGAAGATGGCAAACATAACGTCAACAATGCTTTTCTCCAGAAAACATTCACATATGAAACTGTGGTGTCAGTTCAGTACTAGTAATGAAATTGAAAATTGTTAATTGATTAAACATCAGAAACATATTCAAAGGTCGAATTTAACACTAGAGCAAGTAAAATATTTTGAATGAATTTGCTTCCGCTGGGGGAGATTGAGAGAGAAATCTAAAATGAAATATATGGAGATGATGACCAGTATTCAAGCTCAAACGTCCATTAAACAATACAAGATTGGAGCAGAGCAAACACGGACCACCAAAACATCTAAAGTGGAATCAAGTGTCATGAAGGAGCGAGATTCCCCTCCCAACCGGTCACATCCGCCGTGTGCTCCTTGTCATGATCGAGAAATAACGGGAAAATCCATCAACAATTCAGCGTGTATATCATTGCATAACAAAGATTTCTTACAATCTTTTAAAGAAAACATATTAAGAAAAGTCTGAAAGACTTTGCTTAAGTTAATTAAATTAAATGCTTAAGATAATAAAACAAGTGTATATTTTTCCAACTCATAAAACATGTTGACTAGCATGTGTTAAGGAGTGTTGTTTTTTGCTACCTGTATGCCTGTGGTTTATGGTAATATTTGGTTATTCAAGGAATAAAATTGTTATGTTGTGAAATCCCACAATAAAAATTGTCACTGGTTGGGAGTAAACTACAGATTAATTATAGAAAATGGTCATCTCTACTAACCTTCAGCGCAGTTTTTTCCTTCCCATCCTATGTCACATTCACACGTGTAGGATCCCTTATTATTTACACATCTACTGCCTTCTTTACATGGATTGGTAAGGCATTCATTCAGATCTGTATTCAAACACAATCATGAAATATTTATGAGATAAAAAAAAATACACAATGAAATTTGCAAGTATGAAGAAAATATTAATTCAAAGTTAATAATTATTTTTCTTTTTCAGAACTTACCTTCTTCACAGGTTGTAGAGGTCCACCCTTGTTGACACTCACAGGTAAAAGAGCCCTGTGTATTTGTACAAACCCCATTATTCTGGCATGGACTGTTCTCACATTCGTCTAAATCTACAAAGTAATCACAAAAATTGAAAGCATGAAATGTTTCATCATTAATTTTCCATGCATACTCGGCTAACGAAGAATGACCCCTTTTGAAGAGAGTAATCCTTCTATTGCTAAATCTTTTTTGCTTTTGAATAAAACTCCACCTTTGACAACGATAACATGTTTTTCTCAAATTTTATCGAAAGTTGACACGATTTAAAAAAACAACAACATTAGATTCTTTTCTACTTCCGATATTTAAATAATAAAACCATGTCTAAAGGAATTCTACTCATTTCACGCAGTTTGAAAAGTTAATAATAATTAACATCATTTTTAAGTAGGAGCTTTTTCTTAATATATCAAGATGGCTGAAGCTTCGTCTATTTCTTTGTCCTTCTTCATAGTATAATTGTTAGTCAATTATTTAGACAGTGAGTTCTCGATGGATTTCGTTATTACCCGATTATAATAAGGAGCACACTGTGGGTGTTACCGGTCGGCAGGGGATGCTAACTCATCCATGGCACCTGATCCCATATCTGATGTTTTGGAGGTCCATGTTTGCTCTGCTACTATTTGGTATTGTATGGACGTTTGTTCTTGAATATCGTTCGTTATCTCCATGTGTTTCACATACAGTAATATGAAAAAAATATCTTTAATATTGTCGATTTAATAAAATAATAATAATAATAATAAAAGAAAATATGAAATTATTGACCTTGGTTTAAATTTGTTCCATTTTGTACCCTGTTACAAATAAACATAAAGAAACCTTATTGAAGGAACTTTATTGCGTTTTTTTTTTTTTGGTAACGTTTTTCGGCTATGGGTATATAAATAAATAAATGTAGTTATTTATAACTTAATTATTGTGGACCTTGGACCGTGAATTGAGAAGAAGAAACGCCCAATCCATTGTTGTATTATCTTTTTTTTTCATGAAGAAGTACACTTGGACTTTAATGAGAGTCTTTGCTGAGTACTTTGTGAATATTCTTGTATTTTTACAGGGATCAGTTTCAATCTTGTAGCTACTTTAAAAAAAAAACGAAGAGTTATCAATCTAATCAATCCAGTAAAATAGCAACAGTGAGCAGGGCAAAAAATAAAAGCCCTGGAAACACACAAGATTGGATCAAGTACCAGAGAGGAGTAACCATCCCTGTCGAGTTTTAAGAACTTTTCGTATATGGAACATCGTGTTCAGGTGATAATGATATATAATGCTAATATATAACAAGGTTTTGGAGATGGCAAACATCCCGTCAACAATGCTTTTCTCCAGAAAATATTCACATATAAAACTGTGGTGTCAGTTTCTGATGTTTTTACTTCGAGTTCAGTGGGATATACATAGATTCAACGTAGGAATGAAATTGAATACTGTTAATGGATTAAACATCAAAAATATATCCAATGGTCGAGTTGAACACCAAAGAACGTAAAATATTTTGAATGAATTCTGCTTCATTAGCATATAAAAATAGTTTCGATAGAAGACATTTGGAGAGAAATTTAAGATAAAATATATGGAGATAACGAACAGTATTCAAGCTCAAAATTCCATTAAACAATACAAAATTGGAGAAGAGCAAACATGGAACTCCAAAAAATTAAAGATAGGATCAGGTGTCATGAAGGAGTGAGCATTCCCTGTCAACCGGCCACACCCATCGTGTGCTACTTGTCATGATCGGAAATTAACGGAAAAATTCGTCCGTAATTCAGTGTGTATATCATGGCCAAAGTTTGAATTTAAATTGAAGATAATTAAAGCTTGAAATACTGAAACAAGTGTATATTTTTCCACCTTGTAAAAACATACTGACTAGCATGTGTTTAGAAGTTGTTGTTTTTTGCTACCTGTATACCTGTGGTTTATGGTAACATGTGGTTATTCAAGGAATAGACTTTGTTATGGTATAAAATCCCACAAAAATAATTGTCATTGGTTGGGAGTATACTACATATAAATTAAATTTAGAAAATGGTCATCTCTACTAACCTTTAGTGCAGTTTGTTCCTTCCCATCCTATGTCACATTCACACGTGTAGGATCCCTTATTATTTACACATCTACTGCCTTCTTTACATGGATTGGTAAGGCATTCATTCAAATCTGTATTCAAACACAATCTTAAAAAAAAATACACAATGAAATTTGCAAGTATGAAGAAAATATTATCAAATAAAACATTCAAAGTTAATAATTATTTTTCTTTTCAGGACTTACCTTCTTCACAATTTGTAGAGGTCCACCCTTGTTGACACTCACAGGTAAAAGAGCCCTGTGTATTTGTACAAACCCCATTATTCTGGCATGGACTGTTCTCACATTCGTCTAAATCTACAAAGTTATCACAAAAATTGAAAGCATGAAATGTTTCATCAATAATTTTCCATGCATACTCTGCTAACGAAGAATTACCCCTTTTGAAGAGAGTAATCCTTCTATTGCTAAATCTATTTTGCTTTTGAATAAAACTCCACCTTTGACAACGATAACATGTTTTTCTCAAATTTTATCGAAAGTTGATACGATTTAAAAAAAAACATTAAATTCTTTTCTACTTCCGATATTTTAAAAATAAAACCATGTTTATAGGAATTCTTCTCATTTCACGCAGTTTGAAAAGTTAATAATAATTAACATCATTTTTAAGTAGGAGCTTTCTCTTAATATATCAAGATGGCTGAAGCTTCGTCTCTTTCTTTGTCCTTCTTCATACTATAATTGTTAGTCAATTATTGAGACAGTGAATTCTCGATGGATTTTTTCGTTATTTCCCGATTATAATAAGGAGCACACGGCGGGTGTTACTGGTCGGCAGGGGATGCTAACTCATCCATGGCACCTGATCCCATATCTGATGTTTTGGAGGTCCATGTTTGCTCTGCTACTATTTGGTATTGTTGTATGGACGTTTGATCTTGAATATCGTTCGTTATTTCCATGTGTTTCACATACAGTAATATGAAAAAAAATATGTTTAATATTGTCGATTTAATAAAATAATAATAATGATAATAATAAAAAAGAAGAAAATATGAAATTATTGACCTTGGTTTAAATTTGTTCCATTTTGTACCGTTACAAATAAACATAAAGAAACCTTATTGAAGGAACTTTATCGCGTTTTCTTTTCGTTTGTAACGTTTTTCGACTATGGGTATATAAATAAATAAATGTAGTTATTTATAACTAAGTTATTGTGGACCTTGGACCGTGAATTGAGAAGAAGAAACGCCCAATCCATTGTTGTATTATCATTTTTTTTATTTTTCATGAAGTACACTTGTACTTTAATGAGAGTCTTTGCTGAGTCCTTTGTGAATATTCTTGTATTTTTACAAGGATCAGTTTCAATCTTGTAGCTACTTAAAAAAATATCGAAGAGTTATCAATCTAATCAATCCAGTAAAATAGCAACAGTGAACAGGGCAAAAATAAAAGCCCATGAAACACACAAGGTTGGATCAAGTACCCGGGAAAAGTAACCATCCCTGTCGAGTTTTAAGAACTTTTCGTATATGGAACATCGTATTCATGTGATAATGATATATTGCTAATAAATACGAGGGGTGTTAGAAAAGTTCGCGGACAAGTTCTATTGTGAGCGCGCCATTTCCACGAAACCGGTCAAACTTTTCAGATAAAATCTTAACCCATTTTCCAATAAATATACAAAAATTTCGTGCTCTCCGGTGATCAATGAAAAATATACAGCTGTTTTATTTTGATAAAACTTGCTTCACGGAGCATGCTACAAATTGGCACGTTTTCATCACAAAAATTAAAAATTGCACAATTGTAGCGCAAAGAGATTTGTGATATTTTACCTGTCGCTAAAGTATTCATGAAACGTCACTGGGAGAAATTTTGAATCAAATTGGAGGGTATATTACTGTTTTATAGCCATTTATAAACGATCAACGCTTAAAAACACAGCCAAAAATCGGAACGTCATTGAGCGTCGTGGAGCACTGCACTTCGTAAAAATTATGTATGTAGACAGGAAAATGTCTAAAAAGTGACTAAAATGTTCAAGATATTGCCAGGAATTTCCTATACATAACAGGACAAAAGGTTTCAAATGATTGTAGTTTTATAAGAATGTAAGGATTAACAATATGAATGATTTACTCCATCGATACTTCAATACCCCCTTATTGCATGGACGCTGTGCCTATATGGTTTTGCACATTTCCCATACTTGATCGATTACTTGCATAGACTTTTCAATAGGTCTCAATAATATCCGAATCAATACAAAAGACACAGTGGAAAAGTAACATGTCCTGATATAGATATTCAATTTTAAAGTAGAAAAATGGAAAAAAATATGAAAAAATGAAAGATTAAATGAACTGCGACAAAGCTTAACGATATGAAATCTTTTTGTCACGTTGCCTTATGTCATGTGATTGCTCCGTGAATCCCATGACCTCTTGGTAAAAATCGTTGTAAATTTTCAAGATTTTAATAAATGGACCTGATTTTTTACATACTAATAAACAAAATGTAGGAATTTATTTAGTCATAGGTCAAACTTCACAGTACACAATAGATTTTCCGTAAATCGATGTGTCCGCGAACTTTTCTAACAACCCTCGTAACAAGGATTTGGAGATGGCAAACATCCTGTCAAGAATGCTTTTCTGCAGAACACATTTACATATAAAACTGTGGTGTCAGATTCTGATGTTTTTAATTCGAGTTCAATGGGATATATCGACTCAACGTATGAATGAAATAGAATACTATTATTGGATGAAACATCAAAAATATATCCAATGGTCGAGTTGAACACCACAGAACGTAAAATTATTTGAATGAATTCTTTTTCATAAGTATATAAAAATAGTTTCGATAGGAGATATTGGGAGAGAAATTTAAGATAAAATATATGGAGATAACGAACAGTATTCAAGCTCAAAATTCCATTAAACAGTACAAAATTGGAGAAGAGCAAACATGGACCTCCAAAAAATTAAAGATAGGATCAGGTGTCATGAAGGAGTGAGCATTCCCGGTCACCCGGCCACACTCATCGTGTGCTCCTTGTCATGATCGGGAATTAACGGAAAAATACGTCCGTAATTCAGTGTGTATATCATGGCCAAAGTTTGAATAACTTTGCCTAAGTTATCTAAACTGAAGATAATTAAAGCTTGAAATACTGAAACAAGTGTATATTTTTCCACCTTGTAAAAACATATTCACTAGCATGTGTTTAGAAGTTGTTGTTTTTTGCTACCTGTATACCTGTGGTTTATGGTAACATGTGGTTATTCAAGGAACATACTTTGTTATGGTATAAAATCCCACAAAAATAATTGTCATTAGTTGGGAGTATACTACATATAAATTAAATTTAGAAAATGGTCATCTCTACTAACCTTTAGTGCAGTTTGTTCCTTCCCACCCTATGTCACATTCACACGTGTAGGATCCCTTATTATTTACACATCTACTGCCTTCTTTACATGGATTGGTAAGGCATTCATTCAAATCTGTATTCAAACACAACCATGATATATTTATGAAATAAAAAAAAGTATATCAATGAAATTTGTAAGTATGAAGAAAGTATTAACTTGTGTATCTATGTCTGCTCATGTTCCCCAATTAAACAAAGAAATATCAAACATTTTATCAATAATGATAAAAGTTATAAATTATTTCTCTTCTTTTCAGAACTAGCCTTCTTCACAGGTTGTAGAGGTCCACCCTTGTTGACACTCACAGGTAAAAGAGCCCTGTGTGTTTGTACAAACTCCATTATTCTGGCATGGACTGTTCTCACATTCGTCTAAATCTACAAAGTTATCATAAAAATTGAAAACATGATATATTCACCAATAATTTTCCATGCGTATTCGGCTAAAGAAGAAATACCCCTTGATTTGATTCTAGAATTGCTTAAACTTTTGCTTTTGAATAAAACACCACCTTTTACACGATTTCGTTTTTCTCATCGACAATTGATACGGAATTTTCTTTGAATATTCTTATCTACGTTCGATATTTAAAAGCATTTGCCATATTTAAAGAAATTCTACTCCTTTTATGCAGTTTGAAAAGTTATAGATAGTTGACATCATTTTTGTGTAGTAGAGTTTTATTGATATTTCAAGGTAGTTAGGGGTTTGTTTCTTTCTTTGGCTGCCAACTTAAAATAGCTTCCTACCATGTGTACAGTCGGTCCCTGTGTATCCGCTGGGACATTCACACCTGTACGACCCCAAGGTGTTGGTACAGGGTCGGCCATTGCAGGGATTCCTTCGACATTCATCCAAATCTATAAAAATCAAAAGATAATCTGGATTTAAGTCAAATGTTATCTATTAGTTTATCAGTTTCATTTTTTTGAAACTATTATAAGGTCTTAGTAAACATGGTGTTTAAATCATATTTGCCAAGTTTAAACTTAATTATTCATTCTTGAAGGATTGAGAGCCAAACCAGGTCTTTCCTGAACTTTGCTCATAACCTTAACTTTTATAGAATAAAAATAAAAGAGGAGAAAACTTTTCCCCATATTATTTATTGTCAGGGTCGTGTTACCTCTATCACAGTGTTGTCCCGTCCAGCCCTCCGTACAAACACAGGAATAAGAAACCTCGTCACTCACACATTTCCCGCCATTCTGACAAGGGTCCTCCATCAGGCAGTTGTCTACTTCTGTTAGTAAAACGATCATTAATTGAGGATTGGAACGGCACAAAATCGATTTAGTGCCATGTCATATGTAAGGAACCTTATCAAAGTCTTTGACATTGCTGATGTGTTATCAATCCAGAGGATGGATTCAAATAGACAGTTAAAAAGTAAAATATACCATTGATCAAAACAAGTTTTAAAGGTCTTTTTGAATAAAAGGGATGAAAAAAACGAACAGTGACAGATATAAATTCTGTTAACAATACACGTCTATACAGAGGGCGTTAAATAGGTACCCCTGGAACTTCGAGAGGTTGGATTAGGTGACTAGGAGGAGTAAGCATCCCCTCTTGACCATTAGATATGTATTGATCAGGCAGGAGGATCATTTTGTATTTAAATTCAGAGTAAAAACAAAGGCCTTATAGTTGGTATGGAACAAGTCAGCTATATTACTTTTAACCAATACTTTTAACATCAACGTTTATGTCAGTAGCCTGTCTCGGTTGAAAAACAAATTGGGGGCATGCGCTGGGGTAACGAGTTGGGAGATGTATGCAAACATAATACAATGACATAAAGCAGGTGAGTGGAGTATCACTACATTAATAAGAAGAGTTGAAGATTGAAATATTGAATGATCTTGTTTGTAATGCAATTTAGTTCATGATTTATCCTTTCCTCTGTTGTCTGTAAAAATCCATATGTGAACCAGACGAGGCAGACTGTGTATAAAGACATAATGCAATATTTAAACATAGGTTTCATGTGTAATTAGTGTGTTCGATTCGATTAGCTGATTTCTTCTACACGTTTTAGAGTTGTAATATTCACGTCAAAAGGGGTTTTCGTTCACTAAAATTCCTTATCACATATACAAACATACTCCTGTAATAAACATAAATGACAATTTTTTATTATAAACCAATTATCCACCTATATTCTTCGTCAATGGGTGTGTTATTCAAAAATCTTTGATCAGATGTCTTGCATAGCCTTTCTAATTATTAACTGAATATTATTAACCTTCAGATTTCCTGTTCATTTTAGCACTCAAAAAATCCTTTACAAAGTTTGTTATTTTATTGTTTTTAATTGCCATAAGCCTAGAGCACTTTTAAAACTGTCATCCCGGTTTTATGGCTCTGAATTATGATAAACACTTTATCTAAACTCTATTTTCACCAGAGGCAAATAGCCATTTTTTTACGTAATAATTTAGGCTGATGTTTTCACCCACGCGTAACTTAATTCAGAATAACAACTGTATTGTGCTAAGCAATGCCTTAAAAAGGAATTCTTAATTATATACTGAAAAAGCAAATCGTTCTTTCTGAATCAATCTTTTTTGAAAGTTCCTAACAAATGATTGTGTATCAAAGACTTTTAATTACATTATTTGCAGTGTTTGAACATTATAGAAGTAATAAGAATTATGTCTTCAATTCTGAAACATTCAGTGTACATAATGCGTATCCTATGGTATTGCAAACTGGTGCAATAAATGATAAAAACAAATTTACGAATGCATGTATCGTCATACATTATCAAAATAATTTTCAATCCATAGATTAAATTAATATACAGCAAGTAAAAAAAACCCATGTTTTCCCTTTTCATCAAATTAACTTCTTGCTCTTAGTTTCAATGTACTTACAGACACATATATTATTAAAGTCGTAATTGTCTTTTTTATGTTTATTATATTGAGGAAGTCATTAGCTGTATATCATAAAGTATAAAGTAAGGCTTTAAATATATTGAGACAATGAACAGGATTTAAGCTCAAAAGTCCATTAAAAAATACAAATTTTTTGAGCGATACAAACTGATGACCTCTAGAACATCAGAGTTGGGATCAGGTGCCATGGAGGAGTAAGCATCTCCTGCTGACCGGTCACACCCGCCGTGTGCACCTTCTCCTGATCCATCGACATTTCGATGTATAAATAATGGCCTAACAATTAGATGAAAACGTCAGAATGTGGTGAATTAAAATTTGATTACCCGGAAGTCTGGATAGAGTTGACCCCGTGTCAGGTCCAAATATTTCCTCCGTCCCTCCCCAGTTGTACCGGGATAGGAAAACGTCCCACCAATTGGTGGCCCACACGATCTCTACGGTGGTAACTGGAGGTTTGGGGGTGGTGGTCACCACCTTACTGCCCTCACTGACCAGTGGGGTCGGGGATGTGTTCACCGTTCGCCTCAGTCGTTCGCTCTCCAAGAGTGGGTCTAAAATGAAAATAGAATGATTACATTCTGGAATCGGTTGTCAGAGCATTTAGAGAAAAACAATTAAAAAACGTAAAGTTTAAATATTTTTGATTTACTTTTAATAGAATATTTATTTACAATAGTTTGAACATCACTTGCTTTACTTGTGAAACAATCCTACAAGTCTTAAAAAAAATTTCATGGTCTGTAAGACGCTTAATTACTACTAAAAATATTAAGACGCACATTAAAAGATAAAAAAAGGATATTTACTTGATATCTGTGGTCCGGATTCAGGGCTGTTTGTAATATGTATAGAAGATATTGGTATTAGATTTTTATTTATATCAATCAAGGCCTTCCCGTCTTCAGTGAGGTGTTTTGAATTCTGAAGAATGGTATTTAGAAGTCCGTCTTCTGTTTCTGTGATTTTCTGGTTCAAGTTTTCGAGAGTTAATCTCACTTCAACCTTTCCAGCTGTAGTTTTCCTATAGAATATTTCAAATATCATTAAAATTTTGTTGGGACAGTTTCATTTGTTAAAAAGAGAAAAGCTGTAAGTACTTTATCTGACTTAAATTTTTTTAATTTGAAAATATTTTAAAAACCTTTCTCATGTGTTTCTTCGGTTCGTTTTCAGTCAAACTTGAACTCAGTGGTTACAGTTCTTAACGTTAACGTTTAATCAACGTATTTAGCGTTGCTTTCTTTTAAAATTGAAAGAAGAAATATTCAAGAGAAACTATGGGTGTGTATAATTTAATCAGTACTTTCTATGGACAACATTTCCTACATGTTCAAATAAAGATATTCCAAGTTTTGTTTGAGGTTTCTTTCTTTATAAAAGAGTTTAAATGCGATTTTGGTGTATTCAGTGTATTCAATGTAGCTGAGTTATTGTTAGATTTGTGCTTAGTATTCAATGGGCAAAAGGTGTTCCTGGTCGAAAAAAATACCAATGGCAGTAAGAATAAAGTTATAACTCTTGGATTTTCTTTGTTATTTTGTAGATATAAGTACATTAAACATACCTCAGACTATCTACATGACAAGCATCTTCTTGGTGCTGACGTCCTTTCTGAACTTCTGTGTTTGAAAACATGCCGCTAAACTGAAGAGGTAAGAAGAAAAAGACGTGGTATTTAAAATCTGCTGTTAAATTTATATTCTTTCTTTATGTATGGTTGTATAAATATATAATACATTCTTTAAAATTTTTTTTTACAAAATCTTTAAACATTTTTTTAAAGAAAGTATATACAAAATTGTTGTGTCGGCAGGGGATGCTCACTCCTCCATGGCACCTGATCCCACCTCTGATGTTTTGGAAGTGTTTGATCTGCCCCTATTTTGTATTGTTTTATGGACCTTTGATCTTGAATACTGTTCGTTATCTCCATGTGTTTCATTGTAAAATTGGCTGGATAATTCATACCTCGACACAAAGTGTATCGGCAAGGTCTTTAAACTCTCGAGACATGTTTTCCTCCATTCCAGGTTTATAATCCACATTTTCAATAATCAGAGATATATGTCTTTTTTGTAAATCTGTTCAAAATATAATGAATCCTAATAAACAATAAACACAAATTGCATATTTTTATCAAATCTTTAAAAAACAATTTGAAAAAATTGTTATTTCTACAACCTTGTGATGCTGCTATTGGAAATAGAACTGTAGTCAGTATAATCATCAGGAATGACGTAATGGATACTTTATTTGTGGAAGTCTTGGGTCGCCTCTTCTCAGATGATGAACATCGGACTCTGGATTTTGTATTCATGGTTCTCTGTTTATGAACGAAGAATTGATGATACATTGAAAAATTGTAAAAATCTTTATGAAGGAACAAAATACATGTACTTATAAGTATGTTCTACAGGGTTTGATGGCATGCTATTGTTAAATTATAAAGTTATTTCTTTATTCAAACATGTTGAATTGTATTGTTAAAATCCTAACATGATCTTCCTATAACAAAGGTGTCTATTTCCAGAAGATTCAATTTTGTAAATGAAAACCTTTGTCTCTGTCATTGTTGTAAGATTTTTTTTATATGAAAAATAAGTTTATCTTTATATATATTTGCTGACACTCCCTATGATGTAGGTAATGATGCAATGTAGCTCAACTTTAAATTCAGTTTTAATCCAGTTTTCTTTTTAAATAATAAACTACGTGTTTGTTTTTTTTAGAATTTTTCGTCTGCTATTTTACATGTATTTTGTGTGTGTGGCGTCTGTATCTTATGTAAGAGTCATGACTACATTATTATGTTAATGAATTTTTCAACATTTATTTTTTGTTTTATGCATCAAAAACTGACAGTCAGATATTTATAAGCAAAACATGTCACAACGGACCATATTTATGCCTTTAAATTTCTGAATTTTGTTTTATGATTTCCAAGTATTTAAAATATCCAAGTATTTGTGAGACTCTGTGGTATTTTTTTTTATCTCAAGCTCACCAAGATATATCGTATCAACATAGGAATTGAAATTACGATTGTTAATTGACAGTACGTCGTTGATATATCTAAATGTTGAGTTGAAGGCCACAGCAAATGATTTCTTCTTTTCACGCATAAGATTTTGCACAAACTCTGCTTCATATGAATACAATATTCATATGAATACAAAAATAGGTCTGCTAAAAATGGAGCGCAGTTGGTACCCATGGAATTGTTGGAAGACCTGGTCTCTAACAACCACATAAATATTGTCAATCAGAAACTCAAGCATCTTTTTTGATATCAACTTAATTCAGAGTACTTGTGTGTGCAATCAGAATATGTTTTAACAAAATAATTTTGAAATGACCAATGACCAGGTAAGTAAATTTGCGAGTTCCATTTTTATTGAAAAAGCATTTGTCAATGATATCGAAAAGCCTGGACTTTAATTTATTGTGGGGAATTGTTGTGTATAAAGTTGAAAAGTCGTAAGTTTTTAAGCTGTTTATTTTAGTGAAATCTTGTGATTTTAAATTGTCCAAAAGTTCTTCGGATTTTTGAGTATTCACATCTGATTCACACCACTTCTTGAATATATTGTTGGTTGCACAGTGCTCTTGATGTTTCTCCTTCACTACTGTTAATATCTTAGTGGGGAGTAAAGAAAGAGGCTTGATTGAGTATGTACTGGAACAGAACAAACACAGATCCCTAAAACTCACAGATTAGATCGAGTGCTGCGGCTTTGAAAACATTCCCTGTTGATAGGCTTCACCGGGCGTGTGTTCCTTTTCATGATCAGACAAACTTAAAATTATCAGTATTTCGTTAATTATTATAATGACCTCGTAAGCGAATATAAACTGTCATTGGGTCGTATTTCGTCTGACTTGTTTCATCCCAGTTGTTAGGCCTTTGTTTTAATCAAGGGATGCTCAATCTTCCTAGGCACCTGATTCTACCTCTGATTTTTCCGGGGATCAGTGTTTATACTCTCTGCATTGTTTTGAATGGAATCGATTATAAATTTTTTTGACATCGGTTACTGTTCGTTTTCTTCATCCTTTTCGTCCCACCTCTGATGTTTTGGTGGACCGTGTTTGCTCTGCTCCTAGTGTATTTTTTTTTATGTTGAGTACTGTTTGTTATCATCATATGTTTTATTATATATTGTTTGTACGTAGTGATCTTGCATATCGAATCATCTGGGATACATACACTCCGTTTCCGGGTGATAATATTATCTTGATAATAAGATAAGGTAAGTTGACGATGAAAATTTGAAGTCATCAAGTTTATCATAAGTCCTTGTTGTAAATTGTCATTAATGTCTTTTCTTGTAAAATTTTTCAAATTTGAAAGAGGTGTGTTAGGTACTTTATTGTCTTTTATGTCTAGAAAGAATTCAACCATTTTTTGCAATATAAAACTGTTTTATTTTGCTGATTTTATAGACTGAATTTTTATTCTGAGAACATATTGAATTATACATGCATTGCTATTATTGTCCATAATGTTATTGAAACAATTAAGGTTCAGGAATTAAACATTTACCTGCCTTCACAACTTTTTTCACCACAATTTCCTTTGCATAATTTATTTGTCATTACTCTTGTATTTCATATATACTGAGATGTTTTATCCATTTTTAATTCTATTTGAAAAATACGCCTTCTTCTTTTAGCGAGAGGTGCAAAGATTTTTTTTGAAATGGAAACAAAATGTTATTCTTCTGAGCATTGAACGGATTGAAAATACCTTCAGCCGTAAAAAGGAGTTTTTCATTGATGATATTTCTAATTTTGTTGTTTCTAATTTATATTTTAGTTTATCATGTTAATACGTCATACATTTTGTATATAAAAAATTGTAAGTCTCTAAATGCATCGATAGAGATTCTATAACTTTTGTTCATTTATGAGTGTCTCATTTTTGCAAAAATAATAATAATATCGGATTTATTGGTTAAATATCTCTATAAGAAAAAAAAATCAAGATCAGTTTGATTTAGGGGTTAATTAATTCGACATGAGTTTCCCTATATCTTGGTTCCCCTTCGTACTGTATTCAGTGTTAAAATTTTGTAACGATGACATGTCTATAATTCTATGTTTGAATGGTACTCACTTTGCAATAATGTCCTAGACAGTCACGTGGATTAATATCTTCTTTTCTGTTGGAAATGGATTTCAAACTTATATATACTTCTTTAAAATATTCGGTAAAGAACTGTGTCCTTTTAATACACTGTTTGGCGTCTTCTCGAATCCCGTTTTGTTTCACTGATGGGTTTGGATTTCTATGTTTATTTTCTAGACAGATAGTACATGTTCCTTTGACAGATGAACATTTCGAATGTAAACTAGGTCTCTCATCACTTAATAGGTCCATGGATTCCATTTTATGCCTGTTTGCATATATTCTGAATATTTCTTGAGAATTCGTCTCTTTCTCCAAAATCTGACACTTTTCATGCTTAAATGTCTGCATACACTTTTGAATTGCTTCACCCATACTAATAAAGGTGAATTATTTTCAAGAATGAAGTCCACTGTGTGTTCCCAGATGCCGTTAATCACTACGTGTGTGTCTCATGTCCTAGTGTCTTAATGAATAGACTCTACTATTATGTTTCTAAAGTCCGTTTTTCGAAACACTTATACGCTATGCATGTCTGCATATTTTAATGGCGTCGGATCTATAATGGAGAATTTCCTGGTCACAAAAAAGTTCCTCTGAAAAAATGACACGAACTAACATTCAAATGAGTACATTTTATAAATCTTAATGATTATAAGATGACTATTAGCGACATAAGAATGTGAAATGATGACATGTCAACAACTGACGTAGGGACCAAATCTTAATGATAGTTTAGTGGTCTACACAAATTACCATCAAAGTCCACAAAAACACAAGAAAAGTAAATAAATAATTTAGCCTTCATAATAAAAACCATAGACCAAATATGGCGCCATTGCAGAACACTTTTCAGTTTAGTATGGAATTTTCGTAAAAACGTATAATTCATCTCTTTAATATTCAATTAGGGAATTGGTTACAAGCAAATCTTCCCCACGCCCGTGGTAAATTATGTAAATGAAATTTAAGGGCACTTTGTATTAATTCTTACCGAGCAGTGTCCCGGTTTTTATTTATGAAGTCATGCGTATGAAAATAATAAAGCTAAAAAACATATTCCAAATATATATGTAAACCACAGTCAAAATCTATTATTAACCCTAATTGAGGAAGATTCTAAAATATTTCAAAAATAAAGTATTTTATCATCAAGGTAAATAATTTTATTGTGGGTAAACGTGTTTAAATGATTACTCAAATATTATTATAAATGAAGTCTAAGTCGATATTGATAGGACAGGAGGCAGAAGATTACAGGTTCAAATGACAAAATTCTCATAAAGGGAATCAATTTGTTTCCGGGTGATTTCTTTCCAAGTTTATTAGCTTTCATATTATATTGAATACCTTCCAATGACTTCATGTTGACTACTAATAATGTTGGGTCACTGTCCAAAATATACATTTACATGTATTTAGTAAAATTGTTTCCTGCTTATGAAGGAAGTTCTCTTTTGCTAAGAAACTTCAAGTTCTGACTTTCTCTAACTTTAAAAGGATCCGTTGGTTGAAAGGTCAAGGTCACAAATTCATACATGGTATGGAATGGTTTACAGATTCACTTCTATGCTATATATGTAACTAGAATATTTACAAAACTGATTTTTTCAATGAAATGGAGGGTTTAGGTACACAGCACAGTATTTTCTTCCCTCTCGTGTAGAAGTTTTGAACACCTTCTACTTCATAGGAAAATAAAAACTTTTTGGCTGTTAAAGAAGCACAATTAGTATCCATCGGATTCCATCTGTTTGTTGGAAAACTGGTATCTGAGGACTACGAAAATATTGTAAATGAGAAATTCTAGCATCCTTTTCATATCTTCTTGTGACTTGTGAACACCTGTGATTAGAATCAGAGTTTTTTAACGAAGTTATTACGATGATGGCCAATCACGAGTTACGAAATTTCCGTGTTCTTATTTGATACGTCAGTTTTGAATATTCTTAATATTCCAAACAACCAAAAGGAATCTTTATTGACTTCCAAAACTAAATGAATATTCTTTCAAAAAAATATACATAGCAGGTTCCAGTAAATGTTCAACAAAGCCTCTTTCTTTACTCTTCACTAAGATATTAACAGTAATGAAGGAGAAACTTCAAAGAGTATTGTGCATCAATATATTCGAGAAGTGGTATAAATCAGGTGTGAATACTTAAAAATTCCGAGGAATTTTTGGAA